CGGTCTCGCGGGCGAGCGTTACCAGGTTTCTCATGGTGGTTTAGCTTCAATTAACTCATGATCACAACTGTTGAAAAAATTTTAAAAGACTAATATTTGAACGAAAAATATTCTTTTCGATAAATTCTATTCAGGTTCTACAATTCATGTATCCAAATTAATAATCTGAAAAATGACCATGTTAAGGGTAAAGTACATTGTTTAAATCATGTGAATTTAGAAATAGTAAACACAGTGGGATGTGACACAATCGTTTTCATGTCTTTTAGGTTTTGGATGAAGCATGCACCTTGTTCTTTCTTTGATAATGACCTGTTCTGATGAGAAGCCGTGACCAGTGGAGCTAATCCGTGTCGGGTATAAACAGGTGTCTACCTCAGTACAATAGAAGATGGTCGCGCAACTTCGTCGATAGGTTGATGTTAGACATTACCATCATTGGATGCCGGCTCAGTGGTCCAGTAGGTTAGGAGTTCGCACGCAAGAATGAAGGCTTTGGGTTCGAATCTCGCGGGGAGCGGGAACGTGGATGCGCACCGCTGAGGAGTCCGAGCATAAGACGAAACGGCCGTCCGATGCTCTAGGTTTCCAACGGTGGTCTAACATCAATCGCTTCATTATCTCAATGAGAAAAAAACTTAACAATCTCCACAACCTCTAAACTGAGAATTTAGAATTGATAAACAAAATAGAATAAGATTGTTCATGTTGATATGATTCATATGGAATGTTAACTTGAATCTGCATATATGCTATACGTACAGAAAAATATTTCTTCAACCACACCTCCTCCTCTGGCCAACCTCAAGGCTAATTAATCAATAGCAATCTTAGCTATTGAATGACCTTATTTGACTATTGTACTTACAACCTTTCGTACTCAAATATAATTGTCTCTGTTATCTTTATTCACAAATCTTTGTGTTACTATTATTAATAAAGAGGAAGAATGTATTTGTAAAGTCTCAAATTGTTTCTCTGAGATTTCACAAATACATTCTTCCTCTTTAATTTCTCACACCAACTCGGCGCTCAAATACTGTGAAACCATTCGATCAAATTAGACGAAAGTTCGTATTTATTATTATTATTATTATTATTATTATTATTATTATTATTATTGTTATTAATGACTAAACATCATCATTAATCTCCGGAATGTACCATCCTTTTATTTTGCTTCCATCCCATTTTGTTACTTTTTACTAATGTCATATAAAATTTTTACACATTACGGTTTTCCATTGAACCTTTGATAGAATTTGTTATTGCACTATTATTTCTCTCACCCTATCTGATTCATATTTATTCCGATCAAGGATCATAACATTTTCGATTGAGATCATGAACCGATTGATGTTAGACCACCAGTGAAAACCTGGAAGCACTGGACATCCGTTTCGTGCTATTGTGGGGCTCCTCATTAGTGTGCATCCACGATCCCGCTCGCGGGATTCGAACCCAGGGCCTTCAGTCTCGCGCGCGAACGCTCAACCTAACGCTTAGTCTAACATCAATCGGTTCATGATCTCAACCAAAAACTTAATAATCTCCATAACCACTATACTGATCCTGACATTTTCATTTAACATATAAGCTGATTCAAGTGAACATTCCATATGAATCATATCAACATTAATAATTTTATTCAAGTTTGTTAGACAAACCTAAATTCACATGCTTTAAACGATGTACTTTACACTTAACCTGATCATCTTTCGGATTATTAGTTTGAATATATTGAATTGTAGGAAACTGAAGAGAATTTCTTGGAAAGTATATTCTTTGTTCAATATATTGTACAATAGGACGAAACGGCCGTCCAATGTTTCCAGGTTTTCCATGGTGGTCTAGCTTTAATTGACTCATGGTGTCAACTGTTGTAATATGTTAATCTTTTAATATAATGGGGATCGTTAAACGATTAAGATAGTTTAAAAAAAAAAGATTTTCATATTCGTTTTGTTGTTGAAAAGAAAAGAACACCTTTAAAACAAGCATTTAAAACAGTTTATAAACTGATCATAAATAATCCATAGTGTTATTGAATAGGAATAAGAGAATTCAGCGAAGAAAATGTTTTTCTTTTCAACGAAATCATTTACTTAAACTGTACATTCATACATACATCCTAAGTGAATTACTTCTCCTTCTCCGCCTTCCCCTCCTCCACCTCCTCCTTCTCCACCACCACCACTACCACCTTCTCCTTCACCGCCTTCTTATTCTTCTTCTTCTTCGGTAAAATAGATTCACTTCTATTAGTAATTGTTTAGAATATGGAAATTTAATTGTCGATCATTTCATTTATGTATATAAATCTGATAAATAGTTTCGTTGACACAACAGTATTATTATTATTATTATTATTCAATATGTGAATTATTATTACCTTCCTTCTTCTTTTTGTTGTTAGTTATCTAGTTATTTGTAATTACTTTTGTTATTCAATTTCATTATTTCATTATTAAGAATGTTCCTAATATGTTTGCTTAAAATGAGTTAATTATTTACTATTATTACTATTTTACACTTGAATTACTTATAAAGATCTATGTATATAGTTAGTTATCCATTTGTATAGAATCAATTATAGTAATAAACGTAATTACTATTATTATTATTATAAAATTTTTATGTTCACAATCTAACCTATTCTATTCGCCATTCACTTTTCTTATCATTCTCTTACGTAATAATTGACAATAATTGATTTAAATGGTTAAGATCATCAGTCAATTGAAGCTAGACCACCATAGAGAACCTGGAAGCACTGAATGGCCGTTTCGTCCTAGTATGGGACTTCGCAGCAGTGCACATCCACGATCCCGCTCCCCGCGAGATTCGAACCCAGGACTTATCAGTCTCGTGAGCAAGCGCTTAACCACTGGACCACTGAGTCGACATCCAACGGTGTTAATGTCTAACTTCTACTAATCCACGAAGCTGCGCCACCGTCCACTATTGTCTTCAGTGAGTTGATATCTCACAAGAGATCTGGTTGAACTCCACTGGTAACGGCTTTTCACTAGAACTCCAGGAAATGCCCCTTGAAGTCAGTCATTAGTGAGCAGATTATTATTATTAGACGGAGTCCCATAATCGGATGAAACGGCCGTCTAGTGCTTCCAGGTTTTCCATGATGGTCCAGCTCCAATTGACCCATGATTTCTACTATTGTATTATGTTATAATCAACAAGAGAACTATTCATAAATGATATACAGTAGATGTTCATTATGCAATATTCATATGATTCTATTTCGATAAATCACTGTCATAAATAGTTCTAAAATATCCAGCTGTTTAATCACTGATAGTGTCATCTAATCATATTGAGAATCATAAAGTTGTAATCTTAATGATAAACATTTTTCTATCATCAGGCAATTTATGACATCAGTAATCAGTGATTATCCATTTTGATTGAAGATATTAATCTAAATCTTAATAATTCAGTTTTACTTAAGACATTGCAACTTGGTCGATAGCATTCGATCTGTGCTAATAAGGGCTTGACACACATGACATTGATTACCATCCAGTGATCAGTCAATTGTGATTACATTCCAGTCCTACAGGTGGTCGGTCGCGACCCAGATAGCTCAGTGGTAACGTCTCTGATTGTGAAGCTTAATGACACGGGATTGAATCCGTCGGGGAGCACCAGTTCCCTCAAGATTACAGGTACACCTTGTTGACGAGTACCAAGTAGCACGAAACCCGGGTCCACGGTTTCCTGTCAACTACCTCCAACCACCATCTAACCTAAACATGAGAGTTTATGATGTAATCCTTTGATTGTTATCAATAGGGTTAAGAAATCGGTGAAATAACCTATTGACGTAATCATCATTTTGATTAGAATTATAAAAAGGTATCACATTTTGTAATTTAAATAGATGATTGTAATGATTCGATCGTTTTGAAGATCGTTTCTATTATGAAATAACATTAGTTAGAGAGTGACTGAAAACTATGTTCCTAATTTTTGGCTAGTATACACTTCATTATATGAAATTATATATTTTATGAAAGAATGAACAAATGAAGGCTTCTAAACATAATAAGATTGGGAGAGGTGTTTTGCGGATATTATAGTAATTTCAATAGTTGAATTCATGAGCCAATTGAAGCTAGACCATCATGGAAAACCTGAAAGCACTGAACGGTCGTGGTCTAGCTTCAATTGACTCATGAATTCAACTATTGAAATTACTATAATATCGGCAAAACCGCTCTCTGATTATAACCATCATATGCTCACTAGTAATTGGCTTCAAGAGGTATTTCCTGGCGTTCTAGTGAGAAACCGTGACCAGTGGAGTTCAACCAGGTCTGTTGTGAGATAGTAACTCATTGAAGACAATGGTGGACGGTGGCTCGATTTCGTGAATTAGTTATATATATTGAACAATTAGTTACTTTTTTTCAGTAAAGATTAACAATACTAATTATTCGACTATTCCAATATGGTTGTACTCAATTGAAATTCGAAGCATATTCGTTGTAATAATGCATTCTATGGTTTTAAAAGTATCTCAAGTGATATCAATTCGTGTCAAATATCACTTACAAATGAGTTGTATATATCAACGGAACCTAGGAAGTGATTTTCTTTCAATTTAGAGCCAGTCAGTTGAATTTACCTTCATCCCTGTGTTGATATTCTCATAAGAGCTTGAATCCAATACTTTTTACTTCGAACACCAACACATATTCCTCTAAGCTATGGAGTTCAAATAACCATTAACTTATTCCGTGGATCTAAGGGTTATATTTTTATTATCTCATTATTGATATTCAAGACTAAATCTTAATATGCCATGAAATACTGATCGAAATCCTTTCCTGATTATTAACAGCGCGATATATTAGAATAGAAAAAAAATGTTTACATTTGCTGAAGTGTTTTACTTTTCAAACGTGTTGCATTATCTTTCTATAACCATTTATTCAAAAGTATTTTTTGTTGTTGCTAACTTTATTTAATTTAAATAGCTATTGGTGTTTCAGTGAAAATGATTGATGCTATATATCGACTACCTGGATTATCCGCTTTATACGCTGACAGATCTAATGCAATACGAGCTAGTCAATATTCCATGAATTCAGAATTGGCAAAAATGGAGTATACAGAAGCTATAAATGCATTTAGAAATGAAGGAATTAATGGTAATCATTGTGATATATAATAATTTTTTTTCTGGTTAGCGTTTTTTTAACGAGTTAGTTTTCTACGGGATGGGGTCGCTAACCCAATGCCCAACCCTCCTTCACCCGGGCTTGCAACCGGCAGTAGCCCCTGGAGGGACTCCAGGCGGATCGGTAAAGCAAGAGCAGCATATTTAAAACTGAAGAACATTGGGGACTCAAAGCAACTGTCAAGCAACACCAAAGTGAGGATTTTCAATACGAATGTCAAGACAGTTCTAGTGCATGGGGTGGGGAAACCTGGAGAATTACGAAAGCCATCATCCAGAAAATACAGGTGTTTATTGACAGTTGTCTACGCAAAATACTTCGGATCCGTTGGCCGGACACTATTAGCAACAACGTACTGTGGGAGAGAACAAACCAGATTCCAGTGGAGGAAGAAATCAGGAAGAAGCGCTGGAAGTGGATAGGACACACATTGAGGAAAGCACCCAATAGCGTCACAAGGCAAGGCCTAACATGGAATCCTGAAGGCCAAAGAAAAAGAGGAAGACCAAAGAACACATTACGTTGAGAAATGGAGATAGAGATGATATATATAACTTAGTGTTGATCTGAATATAATGAGAATGAATAAATGAAGAGATATCTTTTGTTTTATGATTTCATTTTTAAAACCTTAATCCCTGTATATGCAAAATTCGTTTTACAATGATAATCCATGTACATGTATCATGGATTTATTTTAACTAACTTGGAATCCTTAAGACAAAAGAGAAAGAGAAAGAAAAAAGAACATATTGCACAGGGAAGTGGAAGCAGACATCAAAGGAATGAATGGTAATCGGAAACTACTTGAATAAAGGGTCCAGAACAGAGTTGATTGGAGATTCCTAATCGGCGACCAATGCTCCACGAGGGGTAACAGGAGTAATTAATTGATGAAGAATTCGTAAACACTATCTTTTATAATAAAAAAGAAGTGGGGTTAATTGTATATTAAAAACTCAATAAACAATAGGGAAACCTTGGTCATTCGATTGAAATAAACTTATTCAATTTTATTTACAAGTGTAGTAGAGATTTACAAAATGTGACACAGTCTTTCTCTTAGTACTAAAGGGCTTTTTTCGTACAAAAAACGTGAAATTTTGAAATATGTATGTACATTAAACGTTTTTTGTTCATTTAAACACATAAATATTAGTACAAGAAGGCATCAAATAGATAACCACATAGTTGAATAGCCACATAAACCATTCGATTTGTGTGAGGACTGGGATACTGCTCGAGTGTCCAAACCGAAGCAGGTGGCCACACCTGGAGCAGTTGACCTAAAGATCTAATCCAGAAGAAAGTGGAGCAATGTCGGTAGATGCAGTTCCTTGGTAGCCGGTGATCAATAATTGGTTCATACGGCATTTGTTCCCTTAGGATCCTGGAGCCCATATGCACCATTGGTTTGGAATCAGGGTTTTCCAACTTCCCCATGTAAATCCTCCATATCCACCAAGCCGGTTAAAACACCGGACATTTGCTTTTCCTCCTCTCAATTTCGTAACCAACACCCCGGTCATTTAGGAGGACTCCCCTAGTAGTGGTTATATGCACAGGGCCATGTGAGAGCTTTTTCGAAAGGGAAAAATAACTCACCACTCTTGGCCGTAACAGGGCATTACCGTACCATGATTATAACCTCTTATTCTGCAACTTACCATCGTTTTATATCTTTCTCCCAGTTTGTTAACCTCGTACATCCCAAAGTGATTTAATTTTATTTGTTAGTCATGTCTAATCAAATTTATTATTATTTTCCTGAATAACTTATTATCATAATTATAAATGTTTAACTGAATTCAATTGGTATCCCTGAGAACTTACTTATCTAACTTCTGAATAATTCCGTTTTCAATCACATAATAAGAACCAAACTTTCTATACTTTTGTTCATTTGTTCTATATGTATATACGATCGTATAGTTTTTGAATAATGAAATCATAGAACAAAAGTCATTTCTATGCTTAGCCATTCTCCCTCTATCTCTCTATCTATCACTCGTTTGCTAACCTTTTTTCCCGGTTACTTTCAAATTAATGTCATGTCCACAAAAATAACTGTCAAAATAAACATGACTACTAATATTTACCTTGATTATTGTAAATAAAAAGTCAGATATTTTCAAACAACATGATTATTAACTTAAATATTCCATTGTCATTATATCGATGAGGTTCATGTATTTGGGTGATAAGGTTTGTTGTTGTTTAGCTATTTATATTCATCATTGAACTATAAGCTTATCGAGTAGTTTGTATGCTTACAGTGTACTTAATGAAAAAGGTTTAATGTTTTAGGAATTTAAAGGATAATGAACGATTTATATATATTCATTTTCGATATGCTTTTAAATCTTAGAATAAACTGAGCTCGTGGAAGTAGACAATGGTGGTGATGTTTATTTAAAATATTAAATTGTAAAGATGACTTTCTTTACAATGCTAACTCGTGTTGGGGATGGTTGGAAGAGAATTAGGGGCGGCCAAACCAAAACGTGGCATCAGTGCTTGAAGTCACTAACTTCCAGTCTGAGTCACGTTGGTAGTTTCAGACTACTTGGTTGGGATTTGCGTGACTATCGTAACCAATGGTTGGAGACTCTTGGTGACATGGCTCAGAATCGATCACAGTGGTGTAGGTGCATAAACTCTCTGTCTTCCCTTAAACTATGAAATTAAGATCGCTTCATATCTTTCCTTTTACCAACTGATTCTTTCTTCCTGTACTATGTCCTTATATGCAATCTTTTTTTATATATCACCACCACTGAATTAACTACTATGAATCTAGTGTTGATCTTGCTGTGCGAATGAGGTATGGGAACTTGGACCGATGCATATATGTGCCTAGTCCTACGTTGTAACTGACTGACTGACTGAAAGATGACTTTAAAATTTACTAATAGATCAAAGAGTATACAGTTTTGTTAGTGTTTTCTAACGAATTAAAAGTGAAACATTTATGAATCGTCTTCTTAGCTTTAAATTATAAAGTAATTCATTGTTGTTGACATTGATCGATTTTATTTATTTGTGAAGGTTTACTAAAACTTGTGTTTAAATGACAGTATTGAGACAACTTGTTCATGATGTACATAAACCAATAAAGACTGGTTGATTGTAGTGCTTAAGATCAACAGCAAGAAGATAGGAATCTTTACAAATAATTTTATACCCGTTGAATATAGTAGTAGCTATTTTTACTTTGTGGCTTTTTGGACAACACTTGGATTTTCAATGTAGGAGGTACTGTGATTGAATCTCAGCCTTTACCTCAACACTGTTGACTCAGAAATATCCAAATGACGAGTGGCGAATAGGATGAAACACTCTTACTGGATTCCATTACTAATCATAGTTTAACATTAATAAATCGTTTGATTGGAAAGAAACTGGGTAGTTATATGATTCTCTACATTGAGTAAGTCAGCTAACCAACACATTGTCAACTCAAAAGCCCATGCTACCGGGCTACATAATCACAGTGTGAGAAGCACTTATCTAGATGTATAGCAAAAAGATCGATGTGATTTTAATGTCTATAGTAGTACAAACAATCTAAATATGGAAAACATGGTTCACAAAGGAGACAAAAGTTTAAGAAATAAAATGTATGACTTATTTTTGAAACTAAAAATTTAAGGGAGGATATGGAATGAATACATCTGTGATATTGATATCGGCTTCTCTTTTATCCCACTTACTATTGATTGGATGCAGTAATTAGGTATTTAAACTGAAGTGCTTCAGCCAACTGAATTGTTTTACAAATATGTATTGGTTATTCTACATGAAATTGTATTTTCGTTCGTCGATATAAATCGTAACTCCTGGAGTTCTAGTAAGAAACGATGACCAGTTCAGTTCAGTCCATGTCAGTGATATTTTATAAACACCTTTAAATTCGGAATTCTACATGGTGACAATTATCCATTGACAAACTGTAGTATCGATATCGCTTTTTTGTAAGTGACAATCTAGTCAACACCACATAAGTTCAAAATCTCTCAAAACTTGTCACACTAAAACTAGCGAATAAATATCACTCTGAAACAACAACAACAATAACAACTCGAGTTTTGATTATTTCACTGAATTTTAATAATTTCGCTTGAAGCAATCTCATCTTCAGTTCTTATCTTTCGCCCACATCTCTCTCACTCTCTCTTTCGTGTCAGCGCTCTATTCCCTTCTCTACATTACATATGTATAATACATGGTGAACATGTTTTCTCAGTTGTATAATCACTACGAAAACACCTGTTTTCCGCTGGGGTTTCGTTTTTTTTTTTTTTCGTTTTGGTTCTTAGGATACTTTTGATGAATAAATAGATGTTCTATATATTTACTAACTAAATTTATATCCTATGGGATATCTAGATTCATCTATCTATCTATATATATAGATAGATAGATATATGCTGGTGTATATATTCATTCACTTATTTGTTGATTATCACTAACTTGAATTGCATGATCACTTAAATTGGTCAGTCTTTCAGTGTATCTCACCAATGTAAATAGATATGCATAAGATGTATCTGTTTCTATATACTTTCAAAGCTATTCTATTATTAAAGTTTATGTTGTGTTGTTTTGTTTTTCATAAAAGAAAAAGAAAGTAAAACACCCACAATATAATGATGATCTATTATGTAATACCTTTTTTTTTGTATATGCGTAGATAACATTCATTAGAGACGACCAAATCTAAATCAGCATAACAATGGTTATATTGTGATTAGAGGTTTAAGATATATGATAAATCATAAATTTTCTATTTGGTGCCATAATTTACATATAACATATGTATAGATATATACTGAATACATACAGTTAGATCTCATTTTCCTTGCATGTATTCCATTTCTGATTGATGTTACATACTACTTATATCTGTCAATATAAGTAGCATACATCATAGAAAATATATAGACTGTTGTAAGTTAACTTGAACCTCA